CCTTGGCTCAGGAAGGTGAATGTTGGTTGCAGCAAGGTTCACTTAAGCTGCTCAGTGCTGCTGAGTCATTCCGCTCATTCTGAGTTGGCTCAACTGCTCCAGGAGACCGACCAGCAACTGGCTGCATGACGGCGGTGGGAAGCCCCATTTTCCAGAATGCCTATGGTGCATCTGCTGTGGCCTCTCTACCTGGGGGTTGAGGCTTGCCCCGCACCCATCCATGGTTCCAACAGCAATCCCTGGATCGGGGTAACTCCCATGGCTTCGCCCTGCAGAATCAGGTCCAGTCATGATCTCCGCTCTGGCATCGGCTCCTTGCATCAGGTGGCCAGCTGGCATTTGGCTTCTGCGGCTTTTATGGCTTGCTCCATAGCCAGGGAAGGAGAGTAGAGGGTCTCAACAGGGGTTCTTGAGCCATTGCCTGCTACCTCCTCTGTGGCCTTCTTTTCTTCCTCCATCTTCCCCTGAGTCTTCGGGCTGCCTGAGGTCTGGTCAAAGCTTGGGGCTCAGGACCCCGGACAGCACCCCAAAATTCAGGGGGAACTGCTTTAGTTAGAAAGGAGATTTGGGTTAATGTTAGGGTTCCAAGTAACACCCCCAACGAAATCAAACTTCGAGGCTTGAATTTCCTCAAAGCTAATTTTTATTAGAGACGTCATATTGGCACATCTGGGAAAACTCGAATCTGAGAGCTTCCGGGTTTTCTTCACCCAAAAGAAAGTTCAAGAGCTTGCCCTTCACCCACATGTCCACCACACATCCAATCATGTACAGTCTGGAACAGAAGATATCTTCCCAGTCTTCTCAGCACAGCTGCAGGGCACCTTGGCCTTGACTTTCTATAAAGAATTTTGTTTTGACTACATGTCTTCTTCACTCTGTACTATCCTGGATTTCAGCATAGGTCTGTTGGAAGAAATATCCATCTGGTTCAGTTCCAAGCAGGGAGAAAGACACTGGAAACATAGAGGCTGCTTGGAAAGATGGTTTATTGATGAACAGAACCACAGGGGTTTGAGGTCCTGGGCAGCTGACCACATGGAGTTGAGAGAGAGAGAGGTATTTCTACCCTCTCTTGCGCTTTGCCTTTGAGCTTCCTGTTCCTATGCAAGAAATGTATTTTATTGGCTGTAGTCAGACTTCCATGGGGCCATGTGGGATCAGGTTTGTCTGAATCAAGTTTGATTGAAGCCTTGAGGGTGATGCAATGATGCAATGTCCCCAGGTGATTTTGCAATGAAGTTAATGTAAATGAAGCGGGCTCTGATAGATGACCACTGGATAACTTTCTATTCACTCTATTCTAAAAAGCAATGCATCCGGTTGGAAAAAGTACAAACTCAGCCAAAATCCTTTTGGTTCCTCTAGGAGGCCTCTAAGTTGTCAGAAGAAAGGAACATTCTAATGACATACAGCTTAAGGGTTGGTTAGGTCAAGGGGATCCACATGAGTTAAAAGTTGTCTATCGTCAGAAGATGATTTGAATCTATGCTTCAGTAATCTACAAAAAGAGGGTATAAAACCATTGTACCTAATTTCTGTCTTTGTTCAACGCTTCATGTACAGAGCCTTGAACCTATTGCGCAATATATAAAATTTGTCTCTGATTAATCTAAAAGTTGTGTTTGTCTTATTAAATTCACAACAAAGTGAGCCCTGCTGCTAGCTAATCCTATTATGTCCTGGAGGGACATGTCTTAATCCCATCACCCTGGAGCTGAAGGTCTTTTGTTTTGTAGATAGGCTGGCCCAGTCCTTCTCAATGGGCACCAAATATCTGCTGGGGGCAGGGAGCTGAAGCTGTGAGATTCTGTCTCCCTTAAGATTTCTATTTCTCTTTTAGGGGAAATATAATATTCTGCTTTTTTAATATTTTCTAAAATATTTCATTCTTCTAGGAGGGGTGGGTGCTAACTTGTACAGCTCAAACATGTCATGGTAAAACTAGCAGAAAAAGTAGGTCCCCGTACATTTTTAAAACGTCTATGTTACGAAACATATTTTGAGTCTTGAGTAATGTTGGCATCAGGGCCGGATTTTCCTATAGGCTAACTAGGCTTCAGCCTAGGGCCTCAAGATCAAGAGGGGCCTACACAGTGGTGGGATTCTGGGGGTTCTAGGGGGTTCAGCCGAACCCTTTGTAAATTGCTGGCTCGCCCGCCCCTCGCCTCCCACCCGCGCGGCGCCAGCCTACCGTAGCCAGGGGTAAGCAATTGTGGCTCTTTTACAACCTGTGGACTTCAACTTCCAGAATTCCTGAGACAGCTTGGCTGTCTCAGGAATTCTGGGAGTTGAAGGCCACAGGTTGTAAAAGAGCCACAATTGCCCACCCCTTCCCTAGCCTGAGTTCCACTGCCTGGGATCCACGTGGGCTCCGGACGCAAGAGAGCAGGATGGAGAAAGCAGCTTCCACGCCTTCACTCACCCTCACTCTCTGCTCTGTTGGATCGCCGGCCGTTCGCTTACCCCGCCCACTCCCCATCTATTGCTGCCTCCGATGGCTAGAGGAAAAAAAAACCTTCAAATTCTTGCCGCGGGGCTTCAAAGGGCCGCCCTAGAGCCAGTGGGGCAGCCGAACCCTTTGTTAAATTGCTGGCTTGCCCCGCCCCTCCGCACCACTATTTATTGCCAATAAATAGTGGTGGGCGAGGGGCGGGGGAGCCAGCAATTTAACAAAGGGTTCGGTGTTTTTTTTGTAATTTTATTGGCCCACGGAGCTTCAGCATAGGCTAATTGGCCTCCCGGCTCTCAGCTGATTTGTCTCAGCTGTTTTGCTAAGGGCTCTTCTGCTTCCTTGCAAAGAGTGCTGATTTTTTTCCCCTAGCTATGCTGAGAAACAAAACTGAAACTGCTTTGCTGTTGCTGCAAGGTTGGAAAATTAGGCAGGCAGAATTCTTTTCTTTTTCTTCACCAAAAAAGGTAGGTGCAAACAATGGGAAATTTAGGGAAAAAGAGGAGAGTTCAGGATTTTAAAACACAAAAGAAAAAAAGCTCTATTTAACTAGGGAATTGTAATAATTGAGATACTATTAATTGTATATTTCTGAAAGCAGAAATGGTTAAGTTGTGGTTTGGAGGAATATATGGGGGAAATTATTTGGTTTATTATTATTGGTATATATAATTAATTGATTTGTAAGAAATTGGATTGCATGGAAATAATTGGAATATTCATGTTCATATTGATTAATATACAAAAAAGGTAGTTATATAACTAATTGATTTATATTAAAATGTTGAATTTATATTAAACAACTAATATTACATAATTAACCAATCTGAGGATGGATATAAAAATAGATGACAATGGGAAGGGGTATAATATAGAATAGAAGGGAAAAATTGAATTTGATTAAGATTAGAGATGAGGATGAAGGGTAATATTGGTTTTTTACAAAAATAGATGAGGAATAAATATGGCAAAAAGGAAATATAGAAATTGTAAATTTAATTGAAATGACTAAACACTGTTTAAATTTGTGAACCAGCCAAATACTCTGTTCAAAGAAAATACATTGTATGTTTGTATGTGTGTTTCTAATTATTATTTATTCATATTTGTTCTCTTTTATTCTTTAAAATTTAACCATTCATTCTTTATCTTAATATCTTTATATTTTTTGGGGGTTGGCTTTCTTCCCTTTCATCTTTTTTATTGTACAGCAATCTTTCTCCTCAAACCTACCACCTCTCTCTTTTCTTTCCTTCTTACTTTCTCTTCCTCCCCCTCTTCTTCTCCTCCCTACTTCCTCTTCCTTTCTCCTTCTCCTCCTCTTCCTCCCTCTCTTACCCTCACTCCTACTCTAATTTCCCTTCCCTTCCTTCATCCCTCTCTATTGCTGTATCCTTTTATGCATATGGACTATTCAGAGGGCTGAAAAAGTTATTTCTGACTGGTCCTCGCACTTTTGACCAGTCCTCGAACTTACGACTGTCCTCACATTTTACGTTTTTGCCCTATCTTGTCACCATGGTGAAGAGAAGCAGTTGTGAAATGAGTGACATGGTTGTTAAGAATGCTACAATGGGCATAAATGATGACCAGTCATAAGTGCGAAGACCAGTCAAAAGTGCGAGGACCTGTCAGAAATCACTTTTTTCAGCCCTCTGGGTAGTCCTTTTGTGCATATGGACTACTCCGAGAGCTGAAAAAGTTATTTTTGACTGGTCCTCGCACTTTTGACCAGTCCTCGAACTTACGACTGTCCTCACATTTTACGTTTTTGCCCTATCTTGTCACCATGGTGAAGAGAAGCAGTTGTGAAATGAGTGACATGGTTGTTAAGAAAGCTGCACGGGCATAAATGTGAGGATGGTCATAAGTGTGAGGACTGGTCAAAAGTGCGAAGCCCAGTCAGAAATGACTTTTTTCAGCCCTCTGAGTAGTCCCTATGTACATAGCCACGCCCACCCGGTCACATGACGAGCTACCCACGCATACACAGTCACGTGACCAGCTAGCCACGCCCACCCAGTCACATGATTGCCAAGCCACACCCCCAACTAAGCCACGCCCACAGAACATGTTGTTAAAAAAATTGAATCCCACCACTGGTGAAAGGGCCTCATAAGTGGAATAGCCTAGGGCCTCTTTTCATCTAAATCCGGCCCTGGTTGGCATCACAAGTCAATTGATCCAAGACTTTTAAAAGCAACCAAATGCACCAGTTGGACTGTGAGATGTGTTTGACCTAAAACGCTATTTCTTTGGGAGATTTTGCTGGAAACTGACCAAAAATTGTTTACAGGGTTTAAAAACTGTATTTAAACACACTTTTTTTCAAATGAAGGAAAAAATGAATGAGAAAAAAAATTGGCTTTCAATAATTGCGTTGATTAGATAGTTTCATTTTTGATCCCGGAAAGAAAAAACAAAGGGAACTTGGAAGTTTGATCCCCAGCCTTTCTACAAGATCTATCTCTATAACAACAGTACCTGTTCAACCACAGATAGGCGGCTTCCCGCTTTCTCATTTTTGAGGAACCTACTTTGTGGAACGCGATGACGACACAGTGGGCGTGGCGTACATACCGAACTACAAGGAAGCAGTGGCTGTGTGGGGCCGGCGCAGCGGTTTATAGAGGAGTCAACCGTTGGTGAGCGACTCCTGCTGCGAGCGCCGGTCTCCGAAGTAGCTGGGCACCTTCAGCTTTGATCGCTGCCGCGCTGCTGGTTCTGCTTGCTGCTCGTGTCATCTACCTTGCTAGTCCAGTGCAATGGAGAGCGGCGGGAGCGGGTCGGTGTCCGTGCGCGGAACCGGCCGAGAGAAAAAGAAAGGCAAGAATGCTGACGAGTCTTCGGTAGCTGCAGTAGCAGGAGAGCCTGGTGGAAGCGGCGGCGGCGGTAAACCGCGGAAATTCGTAAGTAATGTTGAGAGAAGGGTGGCCACCTGCCTTATTGCAGAGGGATTTGGGGGTAGTCCTTAGCCGAGCTGCCCTACCTGCCTTTTCTTTGGTTCCCTGCGCTGGTAGAGCCGGCTCGGCCTTGCATACGGATGCAGGCATTGTCCCATCAGTTTCTCGACGGGGCGAGGCAGGAAGTTTCCTTTCCTCCTGGGTCCGTCCAATAACAGAGTCTGAATTCTGCCTGCATGGATGTGATTCAGGCCTCGGTTCACGCCTTGCCTCACCAACTCTTTTGGAAAGTTTTTTCCTATAGATTTAGTAAGTTTTCCGCGTTTGCAGGATTCCTGGGCTGTATCTTGATTAACTTTAACCCCAATCTTCACTTGATTTTTTTTTAATGGCATGTAACATCTGCAATTTGCACCGTTCAACTTTCTATTCTGCTTTAAAACTCAGTTTCTATATCATGCCTGGATTAAGGTCCATTGAAAAAGTAAACATACATAACAGGCTGACCTTTACCTGCATTTTTTTAGCCAGCAGTAAAGTCTCCTTCCAGAGTGCTCTGAAACTGTTCTTAGAGTACTTTTGAAGGGATCAGGGCAGATTAGAATATAAGAGTTGAATCAGGCAAGAACCAGCTTAATTCAGCATTTGGTTTCCAATAGGAGCCAGCCAGATGTCTCTAGTTCCTCCAAGCAAGAGGCGGAAAAGTACCTTTCACTTGTTCCCTTCCCTTGTAACGTATATTTGGAAGCAACTATCTTCCTGGAGATAACTCTTTGATAGCTCTTTAATAAAGTTAGCCTTGTTGAATCATGCAATCCCTTTTAAAAGCAGTCCAAATTAGGGACTATCTTGAGGAAATGAAATTCACAACTATCTGTTCCACATCTTCTAATTAGCTTCACTGATCAACTTGTCTAAGTGTTTATTATTCATTCGATTTGTATTCTGCCTTTATTTTGTGCAACTCAGGGTTGTGTCTGTAATGTTCCCTTTTCTTCCAATTGCAATCCTGTGAGGTGGGTTGAGTGAGAAATAGCAACTGATTTAAAATCACCCAGCTTCCTTCTGCACCTCATGGAGTACTAGAACTCATAGTCTCCCAGTTTCTACTCCAACTCCTTAACTGGTAAAACAGGTTGCCTTTCTGGGGGCGGGGGAATTCTCCATTTTCACTTTCTAATGTCAGACATAGTTTAATATAACTCATTCATGTCTCCTCTGTTTTCCCAAACCTCAGATCCCGATTTCTTGCCTTTTCTTGAAGGGACATTTGGAGTCCTTTGATCATTTTGATTGCAATCTTCTACATGTTTTGCAGCTGAATTATATTAATTTTTCAAATATAAGCAGCACTGCATTGAGATGCAGATATAACATACATTTGTATAAGCTGCTTTATTTTTCAATGCATTTCTAAAGTTCTCTAGTATAGGATATTTTTTTCACAGCTGCTTCATACCAAGCTGATATTTTCATTGTCCTATTACGCTTGATTCCCAATTCTTTTTTCCAGTTAATTCCAGACAGCTCAGACTCTTATCAGCTTATATATGCAGTTACTTTTTGTGCATCATTTTATACTTACTTACTTGATCCTGTATTGATGCATACTTTGCCCGTTTAAATAGGAGTTGGAAGGTCATTGACTGCATTTCTGAGTACCTAGAAATGAACAAGGTGATTACTAAAAGCCAGCATAAGTTTTTGTTAAAAAAGATCATGACAGACAAATCTCATTGCCTTCTCTGATAAAGTGACTTAAGTTAGTGGATCAGGGAAATGCTGTGGATATAGTTTACTTGGACTTCAGTAAGGCATTTGACAAAGTAGATCACAGCCTATTTCTTGGTAAGATAGAACAATGTGGGATAGACAGTACCACCACTAGATGGATTTGCAGTTGGCTGACCAACTGTACTCAGCGTGTAGTGCTCAGTGGAATGACATCTATATGGAGGGAAGCATGCAGTGTTCTGTCTTGGGCCCAGTGCTCTTCAGCATCTTCATAAATGATATATATGACAGGCAAAAGGGGAGCTCATCAAATCTGCAGGCAATACCAGGCTAGAAGGAATTGTGACCACTTTGGAAGTTAAGCTCAAGATTCAGAAAAATCTTGATGGACTTAAGCATTGGACCATATTCAGCAAGATGCAGTTCAGTGATGTGAAAAGTAAGGTCCTACAGTTAGGCAGGAAAAACCAAATGCACAGGTATAAAATAGTTGTAGCTATCTTAACAGTAGTAACTGTGAGAGAGATCTAGTAAACCACCACTTAAGTATGAACCAGCAGTGCACTATAGCTACCAAAAAAGCCAGTGCAGTGGTACTTTGCATCAACAAGATCATGAGAAGTGATAGTACCGCTCTATATTGTACTTAGAATATAGATAATCCTTGACTTAAGATCACAATTGAGCCCAAAACAATGAGACATTTTATATATTTATATTTATATTTCATATTTTATGACTATTCTTGCAACAGTTAAGTGAATCACTGCAGCAGATAACATGGTGGTTAAGTGAATCTGGCTTCCCCATTGATTTTGCTTGTCAAAAGATTGCATAAGATGATCACATCATCACAGCAACAGTCATAAGTACGAACCAGTTGCCAAGCATCTGAACTTTGGCCACATGATCATGGAGATGCTACAAAGGTCATGTGAAAAAGGGTCATAAGTTACTTTTTTTCAGTGCTGTTGTAACTGAACAGTCACTAAATGAACTGTTATAAGTCGAGGACTACCTGTATTGTAACCAGTTCTGGTCATCATGATATAAAAAATATGCTGAGACTGTAGAAAGAGTACAGAGAAGAGCAGTAAAGATGATAACAGGTCTGGAAGCTAATGTGTATGATGAACAGTTAAGACAACTAGGTGTGTGTAGCCTAATGAAAAGAAGGATTAGGAGTGAAATGATAGCTATCTTTCAGTACTTAAGAGATTGTCACAGAGAAGAGGCGGTTGACTTGTTCTTCAAAGCCTGGTGGCTCAGCAGACTAAAAGCATTGTGATTAACACCAGCTGTCTGCAATTACTGTAAGTTCGAATCTCACCAGGCTCAAGGTTGACTAAGCCTTCCATCTTTTCTAAGGTAGGTAAAATGAGGACCCAGTTTGTGGGGGCAATAAGCTGACTTTGTATAAATATACAAAAGTATGAAGGCTATTGCTTAACGCATTGTAAGCCGCCCTGAGTCTCTGGAGAAGGGCGGCATATAAATCAAATTTAAAAAAAAAAAAGCACCTGAGGGCTGGACATAGAGCAATGGGTGGAAGATCATTAAAGAGAGATCCAACTTAAAACTAAGGAGAAATTTCATGATAATCAATGGAACAACTTGCCTCACGGAATTGTGGGCGCTCTGTTGCTGGAGTTTTCAAGAAGACATTGGACTGACATGATGCAAATGATGGATATTTCCTTGTAAGAAGCTAAAATAATTTTCTCAATTGTGAGGAAATTATCTGACACTATAATTATTGCTCTTTGTATCGAATTCTATATTTGAGCAAGGCCCTGTAAAATCCAAGCTGTTTTAGCCAATGAAGGTTATGTATATCCATTACTGTCTACCATTTGAGTTGCTTATGGAATGAAAATAGTGATAAAGATTACTGAGTTGGGTTGATTGTCCCAGAGATTGCATGCGGTATATACAAACCTATTACTAGCACTAGCACTTAGACTTATATACCACTTCACAGTGCTTCACAGCACTCTCTACAGAGTCAGCACATTGCTCTTAACAATCTGGGTTCTCATTTTACCAACCTCGGGAGGATGGAAGGCTGAGTCAATCTTGAGCCTGGTGAGATTTGAACTGCCAAACTGCGGGCCACTGGTAGGCAGCAGAAGTAGTCTGCAGTACTGTATTCTAACCTCTGCACTTAATTTGAGCTGCTTGAGATTTTTTGAATATTGTTAGCCAAATTTACTCATATATTGGTACCTTGGTATTCGTCAATAATTGGTTCTGGAAGATGTGACGAATACTAAAACCAACTAGTACTGTGACTTACCGTGTGACCCACTATTTCGGCCAGAAGAAGAAATAATAATAATAATAATAATAATAATAATAATAATAATAATAATAATAATAATAATAATAATTTCTATACCGCCCTTCTCCGGAAGGACTCGGGGTGGTGTACAGCCTATTTAAAAACACAACATAAACATCAATTTAAAATTTAAAATTATTAAATAAATTTGGCTCCATTTAAAACCCCAGAAATTTAAAATACCCCAATTTAAAATTATCATGTCGATAGCCCGGCCTGGCGGAACAACAGGGTCTTCAGTGCACAGCGAAATACCCAGAGGTCGGGGATCTTACGTATTTCCGGGGGCAGTTCATTCCACAGGGCTGGGGCTCCCACAGAGAAGGCCCTCCCCCTGGGTGTCGCCAGCTGACATAACTTGGCCGATGACACCCTGAGGAGACCCTCTGTGGGAGCGAACTGGCCGGTGGGAGGCTATTGGTGGCAGAAGTCGGTCTCAAAGGTACCCGGGTCCTATGCCATGGAGCGCTTTAAAGGTGGTAACCAGCACCTTGAATCGCACCCGGAAGACCACTGGGAGCCAGTGCAGCTCGCGCAGGAGGGGTTTCACATGGGCACAACGAGTTGCGCCCATAACCACCCGCACGGCCGCATTCTGGACCAGTTGGAGCCTCCGAGTGCTCCAACTTGTCCAACGGAGAGGAAGGAAGAGAACCACCGCAAAACGGTGCCCCCTATTCCTAACCCCCTCAACTGCTTCAGCATGATACCATGGTCGATGGTATCAAAAGCCGCTGAGAGATCTAATAGGACTAGGACAGAGGAGCAACCCCTGTCCTGAGCCCTCCAGAGATCATCCACCAACGCGACCAATGCCGTTTCTGTGCTGTACCCCTACCTGAAGCCCGACTGGCACGGGTCCAGATAGATAGCTTCATCCAGGTGTCGGGGAAGCTGTCGTGCCACCACGCTCTCAACAACCTTCGCCACA